GAGGAGGTGAATCGGGAGGTTATTACAAGTGGTCAGGAGGTGGAAACGTGCAACAACCAGGTGACTGAACTGAGACGCCAATTGCAAACCCTGGAAATCGATCTCCAAGCTCAGCTCAGCCAGGTGGGTGATGAGCTGACTCACAGCTCCAACTGCTCACTGCTGGGTTTCTCAGCATGAACAGCCAGAGCCACCAACCAGCACAATGGTGGCAAATGGCTCGTTCATTTTTGGACTGGAAGGTGACACTAAAGTGATTGGTTTTTTGCTTATCTTATCAGAGAAATAACTTGGAATCATCTCTGGCTGAAACTGAGTGCCAGTACAACACTCTCCTCAGTGAGCTACAGAGCCAGATCACGTGCGTGGAGCAGCAGTTGGCTGAAATAAGAGCAGAAATAGAGTGCCAGAACCAAGAGTACAAGACCTTACTGGACGTCAAGTGCCGCCTGGAGCAGGAGATCCAGACCTACCGGTGCCTGTTGGAAGGAGGACAGCAGGACCTCATGTAAGTATCTCTCTAGATCCACTAGAGAATAAATGAAAATGTCAGGGATCTGCATTACAGATTGGGTATCCAACCTGATCTTCAGTCTTTCTTAAGGCTTTCTCTGAGATAAAAAAGTTGTCTCATGATGAACATTCCAATCAGAATTAAATGTCAGTCCTTGGGATCTGCAAAGTAGAACACCAAATCTGTTAGCTGCTGGTGACAACACTGTCACTCCTGGCATTATGTCCGTATTGGTGACAGTCCCTTTTTTATAGTAAGATGGGTGAGAACTGTCCATGTCAAGGTGGAGCACAAATGTAAAGCAACTCTGAAAGAGAAAGAAAATGTAATGTAAAATACTGTAATGCCTATAAAGGCCATAGTTTGAGACTCTGTGTCATGTAGTCAGTCAGCAGTGACATGTAAAGTTCTAAAATTCCCTATTTCTCTCACAAAATTTATCCCACTAGTCACGGAGGAGGAATTGGAACTGGTGGAGGGGTCATTAGGACGAGCCACACCTACACAACAACTTCAGCTGCCCACTGCCAGGCCCAGGTCCCACCCTGCAAGACTGGAGACATACAAGGTAAGCACTGTGTTTTCACAAAAGGAAAACTGCCTTTGCTCATTTCCTTGTGCGCTAAGGCCAGGAGACAGCACATTCCTAGGATGTGTCAGAGGCATCCACTCAGCATCTCTGTGCTACAGGGGGGATCTGATACAGTGGTGGTGTCACAGAGAAATGGGTTTAAAGAGAGCTTGGACTGAATACGGGGTAGAGGAAGCAAATGGGAGACAAAAAGGAGCAGTAGAATGCAGAGGAGAAGGCCAGGGAGATAGTAGAATTCTGGAAGAAGAAGTGAAGAAGACAACAGGCAAAGCTTAGTAAAGAGTCTGGAAAGAGTAAAAAAAAAGAGTAAACCTATAATTTTACAAGTGAAAATTCCCATTAAAGCAAATTATTTAGGGAATTTCTGGCACTTCCTGGGTTGCTGCCAGCTGCACCAGCTTAGCAGTACATTCCAGAAACAAGGGCACCACCAAGATCTGATATCTCTTATGGGAAGGATTTTACTTGTGTTCCAATCAAATAATGCTGCTGTGTTTTCTTTCCAGTGACCTGCAGAAGAATTTGTGATTAAGGAGAAATGGACTGGAAGGTGACAGGGAAAGCCACAGACAACCCAAGAACAGTCCCTGTTCACTGCACCCTCTGTGCAGAGAAAGTAGAAATAACTCAGCGACGCTTGGCCACGTAGCTAAAGGGGGTGTCAGGAGCCACCTCCTCAGTTCTGCTCTTCTGTTCTGCAATGCTGTAACCTCTAGAAGTTACCTGAGTTAGTCAGGTCACTTATGTACCTGCTGGTGAAAAATGTCTCTAATAAAACTTTGCTTCTGCCTAATGCAATCAAGAACCTGTGTCTGAAACTGAGTTCCTTTTGAACACCAGGTGCTGATCCATGAGCAAAGGGCACCTCAACTGCTCAGGATCATCCTGCACTGGGAACAAAGCTGCTTTGCCAGCAGGAGAGTGGCCTTGCTGACCTGGCAGGTCTTGTCCTGCTCCTCCCTGTTGTCACAGCCTGAGGCAGATGTTGCCCATTCCTGTGTGGCACAGGAGAAGTCAGACAGACCAGCAGAGCTGGAGCTCAACAGTGAAGGAACAGTGACAGAAATTTCTAAGGCTCAGGCAGGTGTGTATCCACACACAGGTACCACCTGAGCAGCCATCTCTGGTGCACATCTCCAGCTCCTCTCCAGATGTGTCAGGTGTTAAACTGGGAGATGTGCTGGTGCTGGGGAGCATGATGTCTGTCACACACGTCTCAGCAGGTGTCTCCTGGCTCTGCGTGTCTCCTGGACTAGTGCAGTGTGAGCATGTCCGAGTAGGGACTCCCCCTCGACAGAGCAGCCCCAGCTCTTCTGTGTCAAACAGAAAGGGGGGGACCCTGCGAGGACAATGCCCCTTCTGGGTGCCTGGCAGCAGGGCAGCAGGTGCTGACATGGCAGATGTTCTCAGCTCCTCTGCTCTTCAGACAAGCCAAGGGGTGGTTGGACATCCACAGCTGTGCAGAGACACCCACAGGACGGAAAGAGCTGACGACCTGGAAGATGTTTTTGTACCTTATGTGACACGGTACAAAGATTTTTCATACCTAAACACGTACAGAATATTTTGGACACCTTTGTTGAGAAACTAAAAAACATCTGAAACATAAAGGCAAATTCATTTCCCCAGGTCCTGCTCCTGACTGTGCCATACGCGTGCAAAAGAGCATTTCTGCGTCTGCTCTGGCCGGTCCCTGCGCTGCAATAAGCCGGGAGCAGAGAAGCGGCAAAGGGAGGGCGGAATTTTGGCTGTGAGGAAGCGGAGAAGGGACAAGAGTGATCCCTGGCGGCCGGGAGGCGGCGGGGCCGGGCGCTCCCGGGCGGCCGCACCGCCCAGAGATGCTCATCCCGACAGCGGGGAGGAACCGGGGGGTCCTGCCGGCAGCACCTGCACCTTCGTGGGGCCGGGCCAGGGTCTCCCCCCGCTCCTCCCAGATTCCAATTTCCCCCTGCAGCTGCCCAAAGCCTTGAACAGCGCCCCAAAGCTGCTGCTCGCTCCTCCCAGCAGAACAGCGTGAATCAGATCCTCCCTGAGCGAGAGGCAGATGCTCATCGAAACTAAAATCCTGGGAATTTGGCACCTGACTTTTCACCTTCTGCTCCATCGGAACTGCCCCTCTTGTACCACAGAGTGAAATACCAACTTGAAGCGCCTGTGAAAATATTTACGCTGGGTTGGGTTTGGTTGTTTTTCCCAGAGGAAAGAGAAATTTTAAATACCTATACTGGGTTGGTTTTTTTTTAAATTTTATGTGTTTTCCCGTATGACAGAGACATTGGGCATGCCTGAAAATACAGGGCAAAACTGGCCAATCCAAAAACTGTTCAGTTTGGACTGAGTCTGAAACAGAGGTTTGCCATTAACACTGTATTTCTGTATTTAAAGTCACCAAAAAATTTAAGAGCAGCTGGAATAATTAGTAATCCTGACTGACGTGCAAATGCTTCTTGTGCTGAAAAATGCCTGGGAAATGCTGGCACTTCCCAGCTCTCCCCATCAGGTGTCAGCTGTTCCCAGCTGGCAGATCCCAAGGAAACACTGACCTGTCAGTGTCCTGACGCCGAGCCCTGTCCTGTCCCCAGCCTGTCCGGTCCCTGCTCTGTCCCGGGTGTGCAAACACTGCGTAACCTGAGACCAAAGTCTGAGACTCTGCTTAAAGCCGAGCTTACATTTTCCTAAGGGGCCCAAAGACGCTAAGCTAATTGAGAGCTAATCCTGACTGTGGCTAAGTGGAAGTAGTTGCTGTTAGACTATCCAACAGAAGTACAATAATAACAATAATATGTGATTTAAATGATATAAAAATGAATTGATCCACAATCTACAACAATTGGAGCTCTGCCCAGCCCCCCTGCCCTGCAGTGGGGTGGGCAGCGCTCCCTCTGTGCCATCGAGCCCACCACGCCGAGGGATCCCGCCACATTCTACGCGTCAGCACACGGGATATTTGGAGATTATTTGGAGATGCAGGACGAATGCTGCCCGGCCCTCGCCGCAGGTGCTCTCTAGAGGGCACTCGGCTCCCAGCGAGCCGCCGGCAGGGCCGAGCGGCGAAGGAGCGCCGGGGGCTCGGCCCGTCCCCTCCCAGCAGAGGCAGCCGGGCGAAGCGCTGTGTGCGGGATGTGCTGGGGACATGCCAGTGCCCAAAACACCGAACGCGTACCAGCCCCGGCATCCTGCTCCAGCTCCGCCGGAATTCAATGGTCACACTCTTAGCGTGTGACCCGCTTTTGCTTGTGACTTCGGAGATGGTGCAGGTGTCCCCCTGCCTCCCACAGATCCCAGGTGTTCTCCGGCGTGGGGGTACGTGGGACGGGCGCCAGACTGAAACTCGCTCGCCAGTTTGCTAATACCTGTTTGTTTTCCAAACGGTACTGGAGTATTTTGCATTGTGTTGTTAGGTGGGAGCATAGTGAAAGCCAGGTCTCCTCAGGGGTTGCAAATGTGCTGTAATGACCCTTTGCTAATGAGGGTCTTGCCGGTGGAGCAGCAGCTGAGACCCCAGAGAGAAAGCTGGGCCAAGGGCTGTTTAGACCCACAATGAAGCAGCTCCAAACCAAAGAGTTTGTGCTCTGAAAGTCTCTTACAGCTCTGACTCACCTAATTACTGCTCCTATCACAACCACCATCTCTCTGTTGGGTGGTGGAGCTTTTGAAGGTGCTCTTTAATGTTTCATCACTGCTTAGCTGTGCAATAGTGAGTGAGTAACAGATCAGGCAGAATGTAGGCAGGAATTATGCTTTTCCTAAAGGAGGGATGTTTGCTGGATTGACTCTCCCAACTGCTCTTCTGGAGGGCAGCAGGTCACCTGTCCATGCCAAGTCCAGCTTTAACTGACCAGTGGGTGAACGTGCTGCATTAGGACCACTGGACACAACAGGACAGATTCCAGGGATGTTCCCAGTGCCCACACACCTTGGAGCGTGGGTGGACGCCAGCATTACACCCTGGCTTGCAGAACAGTTCAGGAGAGGCGGGGACTTTCTCACTTCAAAACAGATATTTTACAACCCTTTGCTTAAAAAAATCCTAAATAGCTTTTGGCATAAGGGAATCACAGGATCATTTAGGTTGGAAAGTCCCTCTGAGATCCTCGAGTCCAGCCCTTCACCCAGCACTGCCAAGGCCGCCACTTGCAGATGATTTTTACAGAATATCACTGAGATCTAAAACAATACTGTGTGGTTTGGGTTGTGGGAACAAATCCAAGCACAATGGTTACGAGCCTCATGCCTGGAGAAGAATGAGGAACCATCTTTTGACAGAATTATTTCTAATTACAAAAATACATTTACAGAAAATCACACTTTTCACGGGAAATTGTTGGAACTGAGCATTTTCAGCCTCAAATGTTTCTGGATGGAACTGCTGCCAGGCACTCACAGCTGTGTTAGTGGGGGGACAAAATATTCTAAATACATTGTACTCTCATTACAGAATGAACAATTATGAATTGTTGGGTAGGAATTACTTTTTGCTTAGAACTCGCAGTTAATCCACTACTGAGACAATAAATGTGATTGACCTTTAATGCATTACAACAGATCTAAATCAGATTTTTCCATTTTCAAGTATCTAGCTTTTAATTGGATGAGAAAAAGATCCTCATAATTTAGATTTTAATGGAGAACAGCTTAATGCTAAGTGTCAGGCAGCTGAAGCTCACTGGAATGAAGAGCAGAGTACAAACAAGAATGATATTCATCCTCCAACACAGTCACATTGCACAGCCTGGCTTTCTTTTGTACTATGGAGAAATCCTATGGGATTATCTGTTGTTAATAAAACTGTCTGATGATCATATAATGGGAGTTACTTTATAACATATAATTATGAGAATGAATCATATTCCCCAGGTAAATATTTCATAGTTTTTCTTTGTGTAGCAATATACAAGAATTGAGTTTTCCCACAAGACCTGACCAGAAGCAGGAAGGATAGAAAAGGATCCCAATGAAGCACCAAAAAGGAGGACAACAGTCCAGTTGTGACCCCACAGATGTGCTCAGCAGCCTTGGCAGCTTCTCCCAAACACAACAGCGTGGGGAGGGTGTGGAGCTGGGGAAGGTGGTCCTGGGGCTGCGAGGAGCTGGCGTGTGCTCACCCACAGAAGGTGTGCTCACCCACAGAAGGTGTGCTCACCTTCTCCTTTTCCCAAAGGAAAAGGGCTTCATTCTCCCACAGCTGGGCTGTGCAGAGCACCCAGAACCCTACCACTGAAATGCTGAGTGAATTCCTGCCCATCCTGGGAGAATTTCTGCCAGGCTGGGTGAGCCATTCAGGCTTAAATAGTCCATCCTCCTCTTTGGGCAGAAGCTCGTAGCAGTTTCACCACAGGAAAAGGGAGAGGCCTCATTGCAAACAACTGTGGAGCCACGTGCCTCCTTCTTCCCCTCCACACCCCTCAAAAAAGCCCCATCCCCCCATGCCAGTTTGGCTCTGCCCAGTTTTGGCTCGGATGCAGTGAGCAGCACCAGCCCCAGATTCCGCAACGTTTCACTGTCCCTTTCACAGGTACCGCCGGGGATCCTTCCAGTTCCTGAAGTTTACTGCAATCACTTTTATGTGAAGGTTTCCCAGCCCTCCAGCTGCACTTCAGCAGCATCTCTGGATTTTGTTGGAAACCTTATCTAAGATCACCCAGGAAGCTCAGAGTGTTGCAAGGGCCTAGACAATACTATGAGACAGAACTGCAAAGAAAATTACCACCTCATAAACCAGCTTCCACCTTACAGCAGCTCTGAAATAAAACGTTCCTTTCAGGAACCATTTGTTCTGTAACTTCTATCTCTG